CAGCCACGTTCGGTCAGAATATGGACGTTAAGTCCGCTGCCTCGCACAGAGAAAGTGCCATGAAAACTTTTAATCAATCAATCAATCAATCAAACAATCAATCAATCAATCAATTAATCATGCATGCATGTTTCGGTCCCATGTGTTTAATACGAGGTCCAAGATCTCATTTGTTTCTTTTTTGCTTGTTCCAAGAGACCCTATCCCATGTGTTTAATTATTCGATCTGTCAACCAACCAACCAATCAATCAATCAATCAATTAATCAATCAATCAATCAATCAATCAATTAATAAATCATGTTTTGGAGGGGAAAGACCGTTAACAATTGTTTTTAAAACAATTGATTTATATTTTGTTTTCTTCCGCCTAATTTTTTCCTTGCGCTGTATTGTTGTTTCAAAAGATGTCACTTAATTTTGTTGTATATGATATCGTACAGTTTATACGCTATTGAAACTGACCCTGTTTAACCGAACACTTTTCTTTGTAAGAGTTATCTCCCCGAACACTGTTTTTCTTGTTATGACTACTCCTTCGCAACCGTAAAAGATAGTGACACATTTATTTTTCCAAATTGCTCGTTATATCCTCAGAATGTTACGTTTAATTTTGACCGAAGCGTTACGAAGACTCCATATGAGAGTTATTCCCCCTTATGTATTTGAAATAAGTGATATGTATTTGTAACTGGTAAACCATAAGTGATAGAGACGTAGTGTGTTTTGATTTGAGGTCCTTGGTCCACTAAAAGAAAAATTAGGTCAAGGTCATGTTCTAAATTTTACTTATTATCAGAAGCCGTATAAGATATCGCTAAAATATTTAACCTAAATTGTTATATGTGACATGTCGTTAAATGGATAAATTTTGGTTGAACAGGTACGTGGACATTAAATGTGAGTTTTCACCCCTCTCATATTTAAAAATATCTGTATGGTGATATAACTCATTAACCATATATAGTAGAGACCTAGGGTCTTTTGATTTGAGGTCCTTACGTTATGACCTTGAAATTTAAGTCAAGGTCATAGGTAAATTTGACGTTCTAGATATTGACCTTTGCTTTAACTTTATATTTATACATGATAGAGCCATGCGACTTCTTGCATTAGGTTGCAATGACCCAGAAGTGACATTGTATGAACCGGAAGTAGCTATTTTTTGTACTTGCTTAATGTAAAAGTATATAGAACAATATATTTTTGGAATCAGTGTCAAGTAAACTATCATATTATACCGGAAGTGACATTTCAAACCGGAAGTAACAAATTATCTCCCTTATTTCAAACAAAAGTGTATAGAAACCATTGTTTTGGAATCAGCACACAGTTAGCTATCATCTGATACTGGAAATGACATTTTAAACTCGATTTTATTATTTTCATGTCAAAAAACATGGTTTTTTTGGTGGAAAGACAAACAGAGAACAATTGATTTTTAAATATTATTATTTTTTTTTCTTCTTCCGCCACTTTTTTTTCTTGTGTGTAAATTTTGTTTCGCAAGATGTCGCTTAGATGTTTGGTATATGATATCGCACAGTTTATGCGCCTTTGAAAATGACCCCCTTAACTGAATACTTTTCTTTGTAAGAGTTATCTCCCAAAACACTGTTTTCCTTGTGTTTGCATCTCCTTCGTAACCGTAAAAGAAATCAACAAATTTATTTTACCAAATTGTTCGTTATATCCTCAGGATGTTTTGTCTAATTTTGACCGAAGCGATACGAAGACTCCATATGAGAGTTATTTCCCCTTCTGTATTTGACACAAGTGATATATTAACGTATCACATGAATGGTAAGTGATAGAGACCCAAGGTATTTTGATTTGAGGTCCTTGGTTCACAAAATTGAATTTGAGGTCAAGTTCAAAGGTCAAGGTCATGTTCTCAATTTTGATTCATTCTTTTTTTATGATTTGCTCTGACACTTTTGAAGATATATATAAAAGAGCTAGTGTAAAATGTTTGCTTTATTGTGATGAAGCTATGATACCTTTAGTCTGAAACAATCCAATGACATCTTATAGGAGTTATTGCCCCTTAAATGTTTAAATTTAATGTTAATTGATTATTACTTCAACTTGGTACATGATAAAACCAAAGGGTCTTTTGCAAAATGTTAGGTGACCTTTTACCTAGAAGAATGCCAACCGGAATTGACCCGGAGTAGACCGGAAGTAGCCATTTTTGCACTTATGTTATTGAAAATTACATTGAAACCATATAATTTTGAAATAGGCATAGATAAACGTATCATTTGAGACCGGAAATGACTTTCAATAATCGAAAGTGGCTTATTATCTCCCTTATTACAGATAAAAGTATATAAAAACCATATATTTTTGGAATCAGTGTAAATACAGCTATCATATGAGACCGGAAGTGACATTTTCTAAACCGGAAGTTGGCAATTGTCTCCCTTATTTCAGGCAAAAGTATATAGAAACCATATACTTTTGGAATCAGTGGGAATAACGCTATCATTTGGGGACCGTATGTGACATTTTCTAAACCGGATGTAGCAAATTATCTCCCTTATTTCAGACAAAAATATAAAGAAACCATATATTGATTGAACTAGTATGAAGAAATCTATGTTTGGACGCCAATAGTAAACTCGCGTAAACCGGAAGTAGCTTCTAATCAATCATTTAGAAAATTGATGTGAAAAGACCTTCAATTGTTCTCTGAACAATTGGTTTTTAATTCCTTTTTGTAATCGTTCCATTATTCTTTCACACTACTACTGCTGGGTAGTTGAACTACCTTGACCTGACTGCGTCCTTTATTGTTTATACATTCTAAGCTATTTCTATGGGTTATCATGTCGAATCAATATATTTGAAGTACTTCTGCAGATTTTTGTACATCAATCTAATTTAAAATAGTCCTCCGCAGATGCTCCTCATTTTCGATCGGTTGTTTATATATCACGTGACATATAAATAACCAAACGAAAGTGAGGAGCAAGTGCAGATAACCAGTTTTGATTAGATTGTCTTGATCTCGTCGTTTTTCGTTTACTGCCATGGTGTTGTCAGTTTGTCCAGGACCATAGATTAGATGTATAAAAACTACATGCTTTTTCTATGTTGTGATGTTACACTATTATTTCAGAAAAGGGAGAAGGTTTGGTACCATTAAAACGTTTAATCCCGCTGCAAATGTTTGCACCTGTCCTAAGTCAGGAATCTGATTACAGTAGTTGTCGTCTATTTATGTAGTTCATACGTGTTTCTCGTTTCTCGTTTTTATATAGATTAGACCGTTGGTTTTTCCGTTTGAATGGTTTTACACTAGTAATTTTTTGGGGTCCTTTATGGCTTGCTGTTCGGTGTGAGCCAATGCTCCGTGTTGAAGTCCGTACCTTGACCTATAATGGTTTACTTTTATAAATTGTAACTTGGATGGAGAGTTGTCTCATTGGCACTCATACCACATCTTCCTATATCTATTTGACTTCTGATTTGAATATCTATTTTGTATCGTCTGTTTCTCTCCTCATGCGAGTAAAAATAAGATGAAACAAGATAAAAAAAACAAAAAAAAAACACAAGGTGTACCCATTAATAAAAAGTGGCCTTATGTTACGTGACAAATATCTTAACCTAAGAGGCTATTGAATGGTTTGTCGTACAACTGTAACATGCTTAATTTCAAAATTTGTAAAATGAATTTACATCCACTTTATTTGAACTTTGGTGGATAGTTGACTCATTGGCAATCATACCACATTTTTATATTATAACAGGTTAGTTTTTAATCTAGTTTCGTGTATTTTCTTCCATTAGGGAGCAACCATTTAACTTCAAAAGGGGGGGGGGGGGGTTATAGTTTTTTGTCTGAGTCAGAAATATTTTTTTTAGTTTTTCGACGCTACCAATCAATTTTTTTTTTAATTTAACACTATAAGGTATGGGGGAAATCTGGATTCAGAATATTTTTTTTTGTCATCTGCTTGACCACAATATTTTTATTTCTTCAAATTAGGGATCAGAATATCTTTTAAGGAAAAAACGATAACCCCCCTTTGAAGTTAAATGGTCGTTCCCTAAATAGTGGATCACTATCGGGTATCATGTTGAAGATTATGTACACCTGTTTGAAATAAAAATACCCTCACCCATTTAAAATGAAAAAATATCTATGTAAGACTTGAGTCAAACAAAAAAAAAATTAAAAAAGTTAAAAGGCTAAACACAGTACGAAGTTGAAAAACATTGAGGGCCAAATTTTGCGAATGGTTTTGCCAAATACAGCAAAGGTAATATATTCCTGGAGTAGAAAATCCTTTGTATTTCGAACAAATCAATGTCTTGTTAACAGTTAGTTTATAGATCTGACAATATCATTAACGTCTCCGAGGAGACGTTATTAAGAGTTGAACGATGGACAGTCTGCGGGCTGAATGCTTCTTACTATCTGATTGGAAGATATTGCTGACTCTATCCCGGAACATATATATTGTTCCCAGTTCTATCATAGCTAACTTGTGTTGATTGATTGGGACAATTCGAAACCTAGTAAATGTCTTTTGATCCCGTAAAGTGTCGGAATTTAACTCTATTTTAGCAATTAGATTTTGCCTGGTTACCAATCATGCAAATCGGTACACAGGTAACATTTATCTATAAATAGCCGAAACTCCAGAAATATTGTAAACACACATGTGATTATTTAACGTTCCATCCAGTCGCTCACTGTTACGTACATCTTGTACACGAAAGCATACTTATGAAAACATCGTCCTTTTTTCTTAGCCTAGATTATAAATATTTATGCTTAGTAAGATAATCAAAAAGCAATAATAAAAAAATGAATAAAAGGGAGATATGTTCGATTAAATATTAATTTAAACGGGACTATGCCTTTTATCTCGGAAAGGGGGGTGCGACCTTTTTATGGTAAAAGCACATATATGTCTCAGTCTGGTAAAAGGAAAATACCCTAGAGATCAAATATTTTTTTGCAATTAGTATGTCTGCACATACCAGGCTGAAGCTAGCGAACAATAACTAGCGAACAATAAGCCAGCGAACAATAAGGCGATATATCTAAAAACCGAAAAAATGAATAAGACAGCAACGGCCGTTAAATGAAAAATATTTAAACAGGCAGAAATTCCGTCCAAATATTGCAATTTCAACTCAAACATGAAATGGTATTTATCCCATCCATTGATAAAACAAGCCACATCTCTTTTTAGGCTAATATTCAGTACCACAGTAAATCTGCATCTGTCAACGGATTATTTGTAGGTGTAAAACCACCAATGCACCCACTTCCATTTAGAACGTATGTAAAAGTAGTCCTTCCCTGTAAAATACAGCACCTTTGATGTCATTGTTTAATTGAACTAAGATACACATTTGCAGAAATGGGGGTTGGCCTATTCCATGGCTTCTTGAGAAAAATAATGAGGGGTGTCACGGATTATGACTATATAGGTCTTGTAGAGGACAAACAGGCGCATCTTTTGCGCAAGGTATCGAAGGGCGCTATGTTCAAAAATCTGAAACTAGAGCTCAAAATTTGAAAGAAAATGTTAAAAACAGGGGGGTTGGCCTATTCCATGGCTTCTAGAGAAAAATAATGAGGAGTATCACTGGGTATGACTATATAGGTCTTCTAGAGGAGAAACAGACGCATCTTTTGCGCAAGGTATCGATGGCGCTATGTTCAAAAATCTGAAACTAGAGCTCAAAATTTGAAAAAAATTTGTTAAAAACAAGGGGAATGGCCTATTCCATGGCTTCTAGAGAAAAATAATGAGGGGTGTCACGGGGTATGACTATATAGGTCTTGTAGAGGAGAAACAGGCGCATCTTTTGCGCAAGGTATTGAAGGGCGCTATGTTAAAAAATCTAAAACTAGACCTCAAAATTTAAAAAAAATTTGTTAAAAACAGGGGGGTTGGCCTATTCCATGGTTTCTAGAGAAAAAAAATGAGGGGTGTCACGGGGTATAACTTTATAGGTCTTGTAGAGGAGAAACAGGCGCATCTTTTGCGCAAGGTATCGAAGGGCGCTATGTTCAAAAATCTGAAACTAGAGCTCAAAATTTGAAAAAAAAAATTGTTAAAAACAGGGGGTTGTCCTATTCCATGGCTCCTAGGGAAAAATAATGAGGGGTGTCACGGGGTATGACTATATAGGTCTTGTAGAAGAGAAACAGGCGCATCTTTTGCGCAAGGCATCGAAGGGCGCTATGTTCAAAAATCTGAAACTAGAGCTCAAAATTTGAAAGAAAATGTTAAAAACAGGGGGGTTGGCCTATTCCATGGCTTCTACAGAAAAATAATGAGGGGTGTCACGGGGTATGACAATATAGGTCTTGTAGAAGAGAAACAGGCACATATCTTGCACAAGGTTTCGAAGGGCGCTATGTTCAAAAATCTGAAACTAGAGCTCAAAATTTGAAAAAAATTGTTAAAAACAGGGGGGGTTGGCCTATACCATGGCTTCTAGAGAAAAATAGTGAGGGGTGTCACGGGGTATGACTATATAGGTCTTGTAGAAGAGAAACAGGCGCATATCTTGCACAAGGTTTCGAAGAGCGCTATGTTCAAAAATCGGAAACTAGAGCTCAAAATTTGAAAAAAATTGTTAAAAACAGGGGGGTTGGCCTATACCATGGCTTCTAGAGAAAAATAATGAGGGGTGTCACGGGGTATGACTATATAGGTCTTGTAGAGGAGAAACAGGCGCATCTCTTGCGCAAGTTATTGAAGGGCGCTATGTTCAAAAATCTGAAACTGGAGCTCAAAATTTGAAAAAAAATGTTAAAAACAGGGGAGTTGGCCTATTCCATGGTTTCTAGAGAAAAATAATGAGGGGTGTCACGGGGTATATCTATATAGGTCTTGTAGAGGAGAAACAGGCGCATCTTTTGCGCAAGGTATCGAAGTGCGCTACGTTCAAAAATCTGAAACTAGAGCTCAAAATTTGAAAAAAAAGTGTTAAAAATAGGGGGGTTGGCCTATTCCATGCCTTCTACAGAAAAATAATGAGGAGTGTCACGGGGTATGACTTTATAGGTCTTGTAGAGGAGAAACAGGCGCATCTTTTGCGCAAGGTATCGAAGGGCGCTATGTTCAAAAATCTGAAACTAGAGCTCAAAATTTGAAAAAAAAAATTGTTTAAAACAGGGGGTTGTCCTATTCCATGGCTTCTAGGGAAAAATAATGAGGGGTGTCTCGGGGTATGACTATATAGGTCTTATAGAAAAGAAACAGGCGCATCTTTTGCGCAAGGTATCGAAGGGCGCTATGCTCAAAAATCTGAAACTAGAGCTCATAATTTGAAAAAAAATGTTAAAAACAGGGGGGTTGGCCTATTCCATGGTTTCTACAGAAAAATAATGAGGGGTGTCACGGGGTATGACAATATAGGTCTTGTAGAAGAGAAACAGGCGCATATCTTGCACAAGGTTTCGAAGGGCGCTATGTTCAAAAATCTGAAACTAGAGCTCAAAATTTGAAAAAAATTGTTAAAAACAGGGGGGTTGGCCTATTCCATGGCTTCTACAGAAAAATAATGAGGAGTGTCACGGGGTATGACTATATAGGTCTTCTAGAGGAGAAACAGGCGCATCTTTTGCGCAAGGTATGGAAGGGCGCTATGTTCAAAAATCTGAAACTAGAGCTCAAAATTTGAAAAAAAAATTGTTAAAAACAGGGGGTTGTCCTATTCCATGGCTTCTAGGGAAAAATAATGAGGGGTGTCACGGGGTATGACTATATAGGTCTTGTAGAAGAGAAACAGGTGCATCTTTTGCGCAAGGTATCGAAGGGCGCTATGCTCAAAAATCTGAAACTAAAGCTCAAAATTTGAAAAAAAATGTTAAAAACAGGGGGGTTGGCCTATTCCATGGTTTCTACAGAAAAATAATGAGGGGTGTCACGGGGTATGACAATATAGGTCTTGTAAAAGAGAAACAGGCGCGTATTTTGCACGAGGTTTCGAAGGGCGCTATGTTCAAAAATCTGAAACTAGAGCTGAAAATTTGAAAAAAATTGTTAAAAACAGGGGGATTGGCCTATAACATGGCTTCTAGAGAAAAATAATGAGGAGTGTCACGGGGTATGACTATATAGGTCTTGTAGAGGAGAAACAGGCGCATCTCTTGCGCAAGGTATCGAAGGGCGCTATGTTCAAAAATCTGAAACTAGAGCTCAAAATTTGAAAAAAAAGTGTCAAAAACAGGGGGGTTGGCCTATTCCTTGGCTTCTACAGAAAAATAATGAGGAGTGTAGCGGGGTATGACTATATAGGTCTTCTAGAGGAGAAACAGGCGCATCTTTTGCGCAAGGTATCGAAGGGCGCTATGTTCAAAAATCTGAAACTAGAGCTCAAAATTTGAAAAAAAATTGTTAAAAACAGGGGGTTGGCCTATTCCTTGGCTTCTAGAGAAAAATAATGAGGAGTGTCACGGGGTATGATTATATAGGTCTTGTAGAGGAGAAACAGGCGCATCTTTTGCGCAAGGTATCGAAGGGCGTTATGTTCAAAAATCTAAAACTAGATATCAAAATTTAAAAAAAAATTGTTAAAAACAGGGGGGGTTGGCCTATTCCATGGTTTCTAGAGAAAAATAATGAGGAGTTTCACGGAATATGACTATATAGGTCTTGTAGAGGAGAAACAGGCGCATCTTTTGCGCAAGGTATCGAAGGGCGCTATGTTCAAAAATCTGAAACTAGAGCTCAAAATTTGAAAAAAAAAATTGTTAAAAACAGGGGGTTGGCCTATTCCATGGCTTCTACAGAAAAATAATGAGGGGTGTCACGGGGTATGACAATATAGGTCTTGTAGAAAATAAACAGGCGCATATCTTGCACAAGGTTTCGAAGAGCGCTATGTTCAAAAATCTGAAACTAGAGCTCAAAATTTGAAAAAAATTGTTAAAAACAGCGGGGTTGACCGATTCCATGGCTTCTAGGGAAAAAAAATGAGGGGTGTCACGGGGTATGACTATATAGGTTTTGTAGAGGAGAAACAGGCGCATCTTTGGCGCAATGTATCGAAGGGCGCTATGTTCAAAAATCTGAAACTAGATCTCAAAATTTGAAAAAAATTGTTAAAAACAGGGGGGTTGGCCTATACCATGGCTTCTAGAGAAAAATAATGAGGGGTGTCACGGGGTATGACTATATAGGTCTTGTAGAAGAGAAACAGGCGCATCTTTTGCGCAAGGTATCGAAGGGCGCTATGCTCAAAAATCTGAAACTAGAGCTCAAAATTTGAAAAAAAATGTTAAAAAAGGGGGGTTGGCCTATTCCATGGTTTCTACAGAAAAATAATGAGGGGTGTCACGGGGTATGACAATATAGGTCTTGTAGAAGAGAAACAGGCGCATATCTTGCACAAGGTTTCGAAGGGCGCTATGTTCAAAAATCTGAAACTAGAGCTCAAAGTTTGAAAAAAATTGTTAAAAACAGGGGGGTTGGCCTATTCCATGGCTTCTACAGAAAAATAATGAGGAGTGTCACGGGGTATGACTATATAGGTCTTCTAGAGGAGAAACAGGCGCATCTTTTGCGCAAGGCATGGAAGGGCGCTATGTTCAAAAATCTGAAACTAGAGCTCAAAATTTGAAGAAAAAAAAATTGTTAAAAACAGGGGGTTGTCCTATTCCATGGCTTCTAGGGAAAAATAATGAGGGGTGTCACGGGGTATGACTATATAGGTCTTGTAGAAGAGAAACAGGTGCATCTTTTGCGCAAGGTATCGAAGGGCGCTATGCTCAAAAATCTGAAACTAGAGCTCAAAATTTGAAAAAAAATGTTAAAAACAGGGGGGTTGGCCTATTCCATGGTTTCTACAGAAAAATAATGAGGGGTGTCACGGGGTATGACAATATAGGTCTTGTAGAAGAGAAACAGGCGCGTATTTTGCACAAGGTTTCGAAGGGCGCTATGTTCAAAAATCTGAAACTAGAGCTCAAAATTTGAAAAAAATTGTTAAAAACAGGGGGGTTGGCCTATTACATGGCTTCTAGAGAAAAATAATGAGGAGTGTCACGGGGTATGACTATATAGGTCTTATAGAGGAGAAACACGCGCATCTCTTGCGCAAGGTATCGAAGGGCGCTATGTTCAAAAATCTGAAACTAGAGCTCAAAATTTGAAAAAAAAGTGTTAAAAACAGGGGGGTTGGCCTATTCCATGGCTTCTACAGAAAAATAATGAGGAGTGTCACGGGGTATGACTATATAGGTCTTCTAGAGGAGAAACAGGCGCATCTTTTGCGCAAGGTATCGAAGGGCGCTATGTTCAAAAATCTGAAACTAGAGCTCAAAATTTGAAAAAAAAATTGTTAAAAACAGGGGGTTGGCCTATTCCATGGCTTCTAGAGAAAAATAATGAGGAGTGTCACGGGGTATGACTATATAGGTCTTGTAGAGGAGAAACAGGCGCATCTTTTGCGCAAGGTATCGAAGGGCGCTATGTTAAAAAATCGAAACTAGATATCAAAATTTTTAAAAACATTGTTAAAAACAGGGGGGTTGGCCTATTCCATGGTTTCTAGAGAAAAATAATGAGGAGTTTCACGGGATATGACTATATAGGTCTTGTAGAGGAGAAACAGGCGCATCTTTAGCGCAAGGTATCGAAGGGCGCTATGTTCAAAAATCTGAAACTAGAGCTCAAAATTTGAAAAAAAAAATTGTTAAAAACAGGGGGTTGGCCTATTCCATGGCTTCTACAGAAAAATAATGAGGGGTGTCACGGGGTATGACAATATAGGTCTTGTAGAAAATAAACAGGCGCATATCTTGCACAAGGTTTTGAAGGGCTCTATGTTCAAAAATCTGAAACTAGAGCTTTAAATTTGAAAAAAATTGTTAAAAACAGGGGGGTTGACCGATTCCATGGCTTCTAGGGAAAAAAATGAGGGGTGTCACGGGGTATGACTATATAGGTTTTGTAGAGAAGAAACAGGCGCATCTTTGGCGCAATGTATCGAAGGGCGTTATGTTCAAAAATCTGAAACTAGAGCTCAAAATTTGAAAAAAATTGTTAAAAACAGGGGGGTTGGCCTATACCATGGCTTCTAGAGAAAAATAATGAGGGGTGTCACGGGGTATGACTATATAGGTCTTGTAGAAGAGAAACAGGCGCATCTTTTGCGCAAGGTATCGAAGGGCGCTATGCTCAAAAATCTGAAACTAGAGCTCAAAATTTGAAAAAAAATGTAAAAAACAGGGGGGTTGGCCTATTCCATGGTTTCTACAGAAAAATAATGAGGGGTGTCACGGGGTATAACAATATAGGTCTTGTAGAAGAGAAACAGGCGCATATCTTGCACAAGGTTTCGAAGGGCGCTATGTTCAAAAATCTGAAACTAGAGCTCAAAATTTGAAAAAAATTGTTAAAAACAGGGGGGTTGGCCTATACCATGGCTTCTAGAGAAAGAAAATGAGGGGTGTCACGGGGTATGACTATATAGGTCTTGTAGAGGAGAAACAGGCGTATCTCTTGCGGAAGGTATCAAAGGGCGCTATGTTCAAAAATCTGAAACTAGAGCTCAAAATTTGAAAAAGATTTGTTAAAAACAGGGGGAATGGCCTATTCCATGGTTTCTAGAGAAAAAAAATGAGGGGTGTCACGGGGTATGACTATATAGGTCTTGTAGAGGAGAAACAGGCGCATCTTTTGCGCAAGGTATCGAAGGGCGCTATGTTCAAAAATCTGAAACTAGAGCTCAAAATTTGAAAGAAAATGTTAAAAACAGGGGGGTTGGCCTATTCCATGGCTTCTAGAGAAAAATAATGAGGGGTGTCACGGGGGATGACAATAAAGGTCTTGTAGAGGATAAACAGGCGCATCTTTTGCGCAAGGTATCGAAGGGCGCTATGTTCAAAAATCTGAAACTAGGGCTCAAAAGGAAAAAAAAAGAAGGAAAAAACAGAGGGGGTTGGCCTATTGGTGTAATACCTCCATTGATTTTTTTTTTTTTTTTTTTTAACATAACATTTCATTGCATATAAGAAAATAACTATCACTGTCAGTTAACCAATCAAATTTGCCCCTTATTTAACCTGTGTACAAGCTTTAGTAACCATGCAACCTCAAGTTTCCAAAATATTCTACAGAAACCCCCCCCCCCACCCCCCCCCCCCCCCCCCCCAAAAAAATGATGCTTTGAAATACCCAAGATACATGTATATGTTTATGACCCAGAAATGTTTTACTGCAATAAAATGATGGATTAATTGCCTACAACTGTCAAATTCAAGGGAATATTTTTTAGACCTATTTTCGTATGCAACCGGATGTGACGTACCATGCATTAATAGGTGGTATTACACCTATTCAATGGCTTCTAGAGAAAAAAATAATGTGGAGTTTCACGGGGTATAGCTATATAGGTGTTGTAGAGGAGAAACAGGCGCATGGTTTGCGCAAGGTTTCGAGTTGCGCTTTGTCCAAAATCTGAAACTAGGGCTCGGAATTTCAAAAACAATTTGGGAAAAACAACTGGAATTTGCCTATTCCATAGCCTCTGGAAAAAATAATGAGGGATGTCGCGGGGTAAGACTATAAAGATCTTGTAGAGGGCACACAGGCGCAAATCTTCAAGAGGTGCTATGTTTAATTATGTCGAAAGGAACTAAAATTTAGTGAGGAACAAAGCCAACTCAAATGTCAGAAAGAACGTGAAAATCGTGAAAAAGACATATCAGAGTCAGCAAAGAAGAATTTCTTGTCATATGAAGTCGAAATGAAAATCCAAATTCCTCCATCCGAATTATATGATAAAAGAGATTGTAAAATGTGTTATGTAAGTACTGATAAAGAGAAGGCTGAACACTGGCTGAATTTTTTTCAAGGGTATTTCGAAAAAGAAAACGATGAAGATGAAAGAACTTTAGTGCGAAGGCCAGCTGGTATACAACCTAAAAATCTATATACTATTACAGACTTAATAGACAGTCTACTTTGTTTTATTTTCAAAAGTCTATTTATATCAGAGGTTTTGTACCAGAATAAAACAAAATCGACAAACAGTACTGAGTTGTTAAAAAAATATGATAGTAAAACGACATACAGACCAGTTAACTTTATCATTGACAATCCAAGCGCCACATTCTTAAAGACGGTATAAGTACCATCGTCCACGTGCGTGCATTGTCTGATATAAATAAATGTTTACTAGGCAAAAATAGAAACGTTACACTGGTTTTTAATTAAAAGAATTTACATACATTAATTTATAATATTTTCAAGATTAAAACTAGTGACCTGAATGATTTATCTATCATTTACTAATTTGTTAAAAATTCGAAGACGACGTTACGTCATTTTCTGATTTTAAACAAATAAGCATTTTTTCAAACATTTACCTGTATCAAGATGGAATTGAGTTGTCCTTTTGGTCATTAAATGTGTCGAGCACTATTGTTAACAAAAGGTCGCATTAAAAAATTGAAAAAGTTACACGTAAGTCAATGCCACGTCTACGTCATAATGAGAGAGAACGAGCTATTGTTTTGTTGGCAGCAAAAATAACTCTAATACAGGTTGCAAATCATCCCAATGTCTCTAGAATGAATATTGAAAGGCTTAAGACTCGTCTTAGAGATACTGGCACGACAAATAATCGTCCCCGAGGTTGCAGGCAACGTGAAACGAAGTTACGTCAAAACAGTCACATCCGCATTATTCATCTCCGGAATCGATTTGTAAACTTGTCACAAACAGCACGACAAACTCATGGAAGAAACAAAATCAGGCTTTATTCCCAAACAGTTTGTAACCGACTGCATCAAGTTTGCCTAACAGCTCATCGTCCGTTGAAGGGACCTATCCTTACGCAACGTCACAGGATGTCGCGACTTGAATGGACTCGGGTACGGATTCGATGGAATAGGCTAACATGGAGACAAGTCCTTTTTACCGATGAATAGAAATTCAACTTGACATTTAGCGACGGCAAAGCCAGTGTCTACCGGAGGTGCAATGCATGATTTTCTGATGCGTGCGTACAGGAAACGGATCTGTTTGAGGGTGGCGGAATTATTGTATGGGACGGAATAACCTACCAGGAACGCACCGATCTGACAATTATTGAAGGTAACCTAAATGCAAAAAGGTATAGGAACGAAATTCTGGCTCCACTCGTTCTCCCGTTTCTCCGAAGTCATCGTTTTGACCACGTTTTTCAGCAGGACAACGCCCGTTGTCACGTGGCACACATTTCAATGATTTTTTGGAGAATAATCACATTCGTGTGTTGCTGTGGCCAGCAATGTCTCCAGATTATCGCCAATGGAACATTTTTGAGACGAACTTGGACGACCCATCAGAAAGAGCCAAAATCCATTGGAAACGCTCGCCAATCTCCGAATAGTATTTTTCAGGGAATGGAACAACACAAACGGCCATTGATAAAGAGGGATGATCATGGGTAGATCCTTCAAATACTGGAACATGATCGACAACCATATCACCATTCTGAAAGCTCCGAGGGCAAGTTCGGATGCTGTAATGAAATGGTGGGTTATTAAAAAAGTAAAAGACAGCACGTATGAAACCTAGTGCGACCAGATTTAAATGGATATAAAATGAATGAAGCAATCAAAGAACATGAGAAAAAATAATGGACAAGCTGGACAAGTGTGACCACAAACTCAAACATGCAGAACCATTTGATTAGTTAACTTCACGAAAATAAAATGGCAGAGGACAAGGTGATGAATGTTTGGTATGCAAAGAAATAGTAAGAACAAGAAAGAGAAATTCAATAGATTGACGGAGTGAGATGTGTTAAAATAAACTAGAGTAGATATCGAGATCTTAAAAATTGAGGGTAATACGTTGCATCATAATCATACCTCTCGTAAATACCACACACATGAAGTTTACTATGTGTCGCACTTAATGTAAAGTCACGTCACTTTGACATGTTACTATGACTAGTACATATATCACATAGCCAAGAAGTCTTTTATTTCTATCTTAAGAAGGGAAAATGGATACAAAGCTGAAAGCCATTCGTTTCGGACATAAACGAGCACTTACAAGACTTTGGAAGAATTTTGGAGGCATAACTGCAGAGATAGTTTCGATATAGAAATTGAGGAAGTCACAGCTATTTTAGATTCCGTGTCACAGAAAAGTGATATTCAGAAAGGTCTTAATGAAAGAAGCTTGCTCGGATGAAGACGTGGTGGAAGAAATTCAGCAAACAGTTCAGTACATGTTCGTTTACATTAAAAAAAACGTCAAATTAAAAACTCATTCAATCCTCACAATCAACTAGTCATAATTTACCCGTCAATACTACCGTTTTTCAAGCTAGTCATTTTACTCCCTCTGATACACCCATACATATCATGATTTCACCTACAGGCAATAGTGTACCCGCAAGCGACTCCTCTCAATAGAACCCGCACGCCAATTGATTCAGGTCGACACCTCTTGTACAATAAAATGCAGCATAGTTTTATACTAGTAACCCTGCTATATCAGAGAAAACCGTTAAACCCATTGGTTACTAGTAACCTTTACATTCTCATAACCTTTACAGTCTTGGAGAATCATCAAGAATATAGACCTCCTTTTTAGTGGATTTGGAAACAAGTTATTGTAACTTATATTAATCATATCCCTCTCTACTTTGCTGGTGCGAATGCTGCCTTGTAGCGGCATGAGCCTGGTCTCTTTCGAAATCTACAAGGTTGTCTTTTACGTGCAGTGATATGGATCTCTCTTTATGCGGGTCAGCCGTTTATCGTACCCTTCCGACAGACTATCATCGTTCCTGAAGACAATACTCGCAAATGGTGTCAAGGCAGAGCCGAAAATTTGGTCCCTGAAATTTTCTCCCAGGAACAGAGATCGAACCACGAACCTTTGTGTTTGAAAAGAGAGGTTGTGACTCCATGTCTAATTGTTTGATCCAAGAAATAAATGACTGAGATTACCTATCCATTTCTTAAAGAGATCATTGACATCACCCCGATTTCGCCTTCGCAATACCTTATCGATGCGGTACGAGGTATTCAGAAGTTCTGGAACCCTGTATTTCCTCATCGTTGAAATCATGGGAATTGGTAAACACGCGGATCCGATCCTGCTGTATAGTAGGCATGTCTGCATACAAGTTACAGTACACCTTATTTTCTTTCATATTTCTTATGACTTGCTGCCAAAGGTCTTAAGTCGATCTCTGTTTGGTGGTGTTTTGTTGGTGAACGAGATCATCTAAAGTACCAATCGCGCATGTGCGCGTACATTTGGCTTTAAAGTATTTGATCATCTTCCCATCATGGTGTGGTCCCAGTGGTCGAGAAAACCTGGCTTTCCTCCATTCTGGCGGGATCAACGTCGTGTTTGCGGCATAGCACTTTGACCTCTTTGTTGTGGAATTCAGTAACCTTTTCCGTCCATAGTTTTATGAAAATGTTTGACTTAAATACGGTATAAAAAAAGCAACCTTGATCGTCATACCTTCTTGGTCTTTGGCGGCACTAAACAGTCGTATTTGGCAAGGAAAACATTGATGATGCTAAGAATAAACGTGAATTCTTTGTTCTGTTGAGATAGAACTGTAATCCAAGTTTCACCTAAACGAACAGCGTTCAGGCATCGTTTCTCGAATTTACGTCGAAATGTTTTATCCGTCCAACGAACTTTTCTATTGAGACGCCAAGACCAATTGAACTTTTTTGCCATTTTTAAGCACAAATCCTGCATAGGGACCCCAACCTCAAACATAAAATGCAAATTCATTGTGTTTCAACTAGTCTAAGGATAGAAACAAGAATATGGCTTTTTGTAAACAATGGTAGAGACACCTTAAAG